TAGCTTTGTTTATTTGTTATTCAAGATGAATTTTTGTTCAAAATACTATAGGGATATCTGAATCTACTCTTCTGAGGCTGCATGATCCTTGGAATCAAGCAACTCTGTCAGCAAGCTCTGTGTAGTAAAAAACGATATACTGTAGAAGATTTTATATAAAATCAAACTTGTTGTTATACAGTAACATAAATTCAGTTCTGTATTATGGATATGAAACGCAGTTGTCCTTAATATAATATAAATTGCCTGTTAAAATGATGGGATATTTTTATATACTTTTTGGTGATAGAATGAAAATCATTATAATATTTTTTCCTAAGACTGATTGTGAAATTACCCAGTGATATTAATCACTGTATCCGATATTGGACAATGGTTTTTACATGTAGAATAAGTAGTTGATTAAATTTATATGGTTCAGGGGAAGATGAATTTTATCCTGAACAATGTAGATGAATCTTATTTAGATGTTAATAATTTTGTTATAATTAGATCTCAATGCGGAAAAAAAAATTCATTACATGGGTTAAATACGAGGGGGGGGGGAGTTGGGTTTTTCTAGTTAGAAAATCAATATTTTGTGAGGAAAATATTATCTTTAAGCATTCCCTGAAAATGTTCATAAATGTATAGTTAACGAAGAAGAACGTACAAAATTGTTGAAAATGTCATGCTAAGAACTGTAATTAATGTAATGTTTCAGTTTGACTTTTCAGTGTCTGAAACTATCTGCTAATTTTTTGTACCAACATTTTCTAGTTCCATTCATTGCTTTTGTTATTGCGATTATATGTTTCTAATTTTTTTTAAACGAAATATCTTTTTATTTTTTATAACTTTAATTATAGTTTTAGTAATAAGTTTGTATTCATAATTTTTCTGAAATTCGGAAATTAAGTTTTAAACATAGTGTTTACTGGCCGATTACTTATCAAAGCAAAGGTACAAAATTACTAAATTATTTAAGTTAATAACACAAATAATTTAAAATGCAAATTTATTTATATTAAATTATTAAAAATTTCTTTTATCAATAATGATAGACATGTAATGAAATCCCCAAACCTGAGTCTTTTTTACTTCCTTGTACGAAGTAAAAAGGAAGTATTGTAATCGCGAAATGTTTCAGGCAGCATATTTCAACGAAAATATCCATTTACCCCGCTATCGAATGCAATTTAACGATGTTTTTGCGTGATATCTGTACGTAAGAACAGAATAAAAGACTCGTTTCCTCCAAAGAAATTATAAAACTGCTTTAAAATTAATTCTGAAGAGAATTTTTCGTGGCGTCTGTACGAACGTATGTACGTACGTACACGTACGTACGTATCTCGCATAACTCAAAAACGAGTAGCCTCAGAAAGTTGAAATTTTGTATATAGGACTGCTATAACATGTAGATGTGCACCTCGTATTTTGGTTGCAATCGGCCGCACCAAACGTATATAAATATATTTATAAATATATCCACTCTATTACCCGGCTCAGTGATCTCAGTTTCTTTACTCTTATATGTTTGTAAATTGTACATTTTTTGCTTTAAAAATTATTGAATTATGTTGTTTTTATCTTCCGGTTAAGGTTTTTATGCCTTTAGTAAATCTGTATGCATATTTTTAGAATTATCAACAATTTTAAAGTTGTTTAGTGCCGCTAAGCCTTTTTTTTTTATGGCGGCCCATTGATTGTTTACATTTGAAACAGCAGACTAGTGGATTTGTTGCCAATCTAGAGAACTTAGCTTCCGCAACAACAAAGATAACGCCTTCATTTATATTGCCAATTAAATCATGCTTAATCCTTTCTGGAATTTTTTCGAGGAAATAAGTTTTAAGATTTACTTCGTAATTTTTAATATAGATATTTTGAGTTTTTATGTATTCTTGCCTTTTCGCGAAGTGAGAACTGAATTAATTGAATGAGAAATGCTCAATCGTCTGTGAAAACCTGTTTCCTTTTTTGCTTTGTTTGCTTAATTTCTTTTATACATCGTTCTAGCTTTATTATAGTATTTGAATAGAACATGTGGCAACGATTAGATAATTCTATTCTTTAAATGATATAAATTTTGTGCATTATGTGTTATAATATGAACGAAATATAATACTGTTAAGTGAATCTAGCATTAGAGTGTCGCTATGGTAAACAAATACTAGAATGAATTTTAAAAAATGCATTTATTCTATTGTGGTGTATGCGCTGTGGGCGAAGTAGATTTAATTCAATCCAATAAGTTTAAATGACATGCAAGAAAAAATGCGTATAATTTAATATTCCGTACAAGGAAGTCCTGTGGTGTACACATCAGATTTTTTTCAATCTATGACTCGACTGAGATATTTCTACTGAAAGGATCAAGTGTCTATATATATGGATATATGATCCCTTTGTATGAAAACAGAAATTTTAAGGTCATTAAAACATTTATTCAAAGGCAGTACGTATTATGCTTTGTTAGATAAAAAGTCACGAACAATTCTGTTAAAATTCCCTTCAGAGTGTCTAATTGTAGTAGAGAAAAAATTAAAAGCTGTTAAAAGTCTCAAGTTTTATCGAAAAGAAATCTTTTAGTGTCAAAGATTGTTTTCATTTCGACTGGAAAGTGTTTTCATTTTCATATTTGCTACTAATGTACATTCTTATTCCGTTTTGAATTAGAATCTTGGTTGAAAGAATTGTACTTGATGTATGCTATGTAATTAAAAATGGCAGTTAACTTTCCTTAATTATTTATTATTGCCAATTAAATCATGCTTAATCCTTTCTGGAATTTTTTCGAGGAAATAAGTGTTTAAGATATACTTCGTAATTTTTAATATAGATATTTTGAGTTTTTATGTATTTTTGCTCTCGCGAAGTGAGAACTGAATTAATTGAACGAGAAATGCTCAATCGTCTGTGAAAAACTGTTTCTTTTTTGCTTTGTTTGCTTAATTGTGCTTAATGTGAGAATTTTATCTTATACACATATGTATATATATAATTTTTGTCTCAGCTATGTTGTTTTAATTTCCAAATCTTGATAACACTTTTAGATAAATAAGACGGTTTTCATTTTTATTCATCTTTATTTGTTAAATAAAGAATAATTGTAATTCGTCATAATTTATATTAAATATAAAAAATACTAAATGCGCATTTATATGAAATGCAAAAATATTAAACAGGATATATGTATATATTTAAGTAATTAAAAGCCTTTTCCGTGACAACTGTGAAATATTTGAATACATTTATTCTTTAATCATCAGATTAATATTTCATTTGGTTATCATTCGATTTACATCAAAGGGACAACATTCTGGTAAAATTAGATTTAATATTTAAAATATGAGAAATGCCTAAAAGAAATTTTTGCTAAAATCAGAATTTCCGATTTTTGTTACAAACTGTGATTTCACACCCTTACGTTTTGCTAAGTATTGAAAAATTACTGAGTTCTAATGAATTTATTTGCACAAGAATTTTTTGTGTTGTGAAACTTTTTAATTCATCACTTGCCATGACAGAAACGCCTGAAAGAAATTACATCCTGCCCCTGTTTTTTATCAAACGCGTCTCATTCAATATAGTATTCCCAAGTCGCAAAATTGGGTATGTGGCGCCATCTAGGAACTGTGATTTCAACTTTTCTGAGAGATAACGCATGAATTGTAAAATGTTTGCAGTTATGCTTAATTTGCATATTAAAATTGTTCAACGTCCGTACTCGAAATAAGTTTAAAAAATAAAATATATGGCGTTTTTAAACGTTTTGTGTTGAGTTTTAATCTTTATTTATTAAATATCATGTTCTTCGCATTTAAACCACATAAAATTCAATTCAGCAGCAATATCACAAAATATTTAAAAATAGCGTATCTTTAGAATTTTCGATACACAATCTAGCATACTGAACATAAATATCCCTCCCGTACAGTGTTGACAGTGCATACTATGAAATCGTTGAATTTTTAATAAAAAATTCGTTATACAAAATGTGAAATACATAATCTAAACTCAATATTCAGGCTTCCAGGCGCCCATGTTTGTGTGGAGGATTACGTTATTCAGAACTTGATGGCGCTAGGTACCTTTTCTTTATATTGCGAGAAACGTACGGGGATTCACGCACATTCTCCTTTATTTAATTTCTTTTAAAATAATACAGGGCGATTATATTTGGTGGCAGCAATTTGAAAAGTAATTCAGCCTTTTATAGGGATTCAACATGAGAGACTAACATGAGAGTCCCGTTTCGAGACTAATAGCACTTTTTCTACTAATAATTAGAATCTCTCACGCTCTTTCTCTCTCTCTCTTCTTTTTTTTTTTTTTTTTTTTTCCCTTTTTTTTTTTTTTTTTTTTTTCCAAATTTTACTTTTTTTAAGTTACAGAGGTTCTACATTTTTTTTTATCTGCGATTTCTGTTCTGCGGTATGATTTATAATTTTCAGTTCATTTGCCACGATAATGTTTTTGAGTTTTTCTGTTTTAATGAAAAGATCAGTGAAAGAATACCACTTCAATCGGTTAAATTTTGTAAATAAAATATGGTATAACTAAATTATTATATAATTTTAAGTATTATATACATAAAACTAAATATTATACTATATAATATTAATATAATAACATTATATTTAGTAATATTACACGTATAATATATTAAGGCACTATAAATGAATCTACTAGTTTAGCAAAAAGGAGGATTTAACAGTTCAGATTATATTTTTAAAAGTTATATATCAATGTTAATATCTGTTCATGTAGTGTGAAGTTTGATACTTTTGCAGAAAACTTAGTGCAAAATATTTGTGTGAATTTTTTTGAAGCATCATTAGTAGCTGTCTTGTTTTTTAAATCTTTTCATAATCTGATAGTTTGTAGCTGTACATGTTTTTGCATTTTTTTGCCACACTTATTTTGAATTACTTTAGTTTAAAAATATTCATTATGTGCATTTATAAATTGTTATTTCATTAACAGAAAAGTAAAGCATTTTTCTTTCTTTCTAGGATCCCGCTGGTTTAGTGCTAGATAGATGGTTATTAGCTTCAAGGGAAGAGGAGCCTCTAATTCTTCAACAGTTCCTACGTTTCGGTGAGACGAAAGCCGTAGCCCAGCAGTTATTACTTCAGGAGAGTAGTGAGAGGACTGAATTCGTAATCCAGCCTCCAAGAACAGAATCGGACATAAAAAAATTCATCGAAAGAACAAACAGAACTGTGGTTGGTAGCCCATTATTCAAACAGCATGGCAGTCATATCTATAGTCATGTGACATGCATGCCAACTTTGCCAATGGTTGGGCAAAAGACAGCATTTCGTCATCCTTCATCCAGTGTTAGTTCTTCTCACTCAGTTTCCCCAACTGCGTCTTCTCCTGTGAATTGTACGAGCCCCATTGCTGTGTCGCCTCTGAATAAATTACAAAATATGCAGCCCTATGATTTTCGGCGAGATAAAAGTAGTCCGGAACTTCCAAAAAACGAAATGACTTCAAATCCCTGTCCATCATATACAGTGGGCTCTCTCACTTCCCCTACATCATCCGTCCCTAACGTTAGTCTCACGACCTCTAGTCTTACCATTGCCTCTAATGCGAACCACTCGTCCACATATACAACATCAAGCTCTAAAGAAGATATCGATATTAAAGAAGAAGTTGCGTATTATTCTGATGAGGAAGAAAAGGATGATTTAACTAACGGTGCCATTAATTTAACAAGATCGTCAATTTCATCCAGCTACATGGACTCTGTTTTCGCAGCTAAAAAAGTAAGACATCTACGGAAATCAGCTAATCCGATGAAAAGGCGATGGAATCCTATTGTATTGGCCACTCTGTCAACAAATCCTGCTACGGGCAAAAAAAGGGTGCAGTGTCACGTGTGTCTTAAAACATTCTGTGATAAAGGTGCTTTGAAAATTCATTTTAGCGCTGTTCATCTAAGAGAGATGCACAAATGCACTGTTGAAGGTTGCAATATGATGTTCAGTTCACGAAGGAGCAGAAACAGGCACAGTGCCAATCCTAACCCGAAATTACATACTCCAAACTACAGGAGAAAAATAAATCCTCATGACGGCAGGGCCGCTAATCCTTACCCACTTATGCCACCAAGTGGTATTTTAGACTTTACCAATGGTGTGATATCGTATTCATCAGGTCCACAGGATGGTGACAGCAGTTCAGTATCGGATGAAGAGCAAAGGATGGTAACGAGGTCAGTAAATGCTCCTTTGGACCATAGAAATGAACCAAATCCTACCGTTGAAGTTCCTGAAAAACCGCCTGTAACGGAAGAAGACGTAGCCCTCCCTCTAACTAAGAAATTTCGCATTGAACAAGATGTGACAGATAACTGTAAAGATGAGGGCATAGATCTCAGCATGAAAGAAGACCGCCGTGCATCAGATAGATTTCCACGGGACATTGGTGAACGCGTTGCCGTTATTGATAAATCACCAGAGCCTTTAGAATTATCCAAAAAGGCAGAAGAAACTAAAACTTCAACTATCTCGGACAGTATGAAAGAAGATAAACCAGAATCTGAACGCCAAAGTATTATTAAATCTGAACATTCTAATTTTGAGTCTCATTCTGGGGAGAAAGATCGAACTCCGACATCCACAAAAGGAGTCCGTAAGCGGAAAAGCCTAAATCCTACAAAATGTCCTACTACTAGCGACGATGACTTACAGTTTGTTTCATCAGATGATTCATCAAGCGATACATATATTGACCAAGATAATGATGAAAATGGGTTATTAGACTCCAAATCTGACTATTTAACGTCGGATGGTTCCGACTCGATTAATGATATTGATGATCTTGATGATAATTCCGAAAATGGAGGGGAAAAGAAAGACGAGAAACCACAAACATGCAGGAAATCTGAAACTCCACCATCGTCATCAGTAGTTGTTACCACAGCGCAAACTTCTTCTGAAAAGAACAATGTGGAAAGGGTATTGCCTAATCAAGAAAGGTACAATGGTTTTAATGTATCTAATTTGGAAAAATTTAGGTATGAAATGTCCATAAACCAAGTTAGAGACAATGATGATATAAGTGAAGACCCATTGAGACATTTAGAATCACTATCTTTAGGAGCTTTTACAAATATTATGAATCTAAATAATAGAGTCAATTTAAGTCAACATGGAACTAATATATCAAGTGGAGTCTCTTATCACGCTCCTGGACTTGGACTTGCATCTATAACGACTACAACTGCTCCTAACCGCGTCGAATCTCCTGCAATGAACAGAATTCCCCCTTTGATTAGTAACTCTGGATCTCATCCCCATCCTCCTCCACCTCTCACTTCGAACTGCCATCTCAATAGCAGTGACACAGAAAACTCCATGTCTGATCAGCAGATGCCGTTACCTCCTGTCTACAGGGATGCTTCTATGATAGGGTCTGTTGAGATCCCCGTAGACAAGGAGAACCCTCGAAGATGCACTGCTTGTGGAAAGATTTTTCAGAACCACTTTGGAGTCAAGACTCATTATCAAAATGTTCATTTAAAACTCATGCATAAGTGCACAGTAGAAGGCTGCAACGCTGCTTTTCCATCTAAACGGAGCCGAGATCGTCATAGTGCAAATTTAAACTTACATCGAAAACTACTTTCAACATCATCAGACAAATCTGCAGGCGGATATTTTGACAAAAGTAGTTCTTTGTATCCTTTCCATCCCGATACCTATCGTGGGGACTTATTCACTCGTTTCTATGACCCAAACTCTCTTCCTATGAGCTTCGCTGACATTTATCAAAGTCGATTAACTACAGAGGGCGCTGGAGCACCTTTCATTGGAGGTTCTCCTTTTGCTCATTTACCCGGTGCAATGCCTGGTTTTCACCCTGCATTCTTACCGCCTTCTACAACAGTACCGAATTATAAAAACGATAATGTTAGCAGATATCATCATCGCAATGATGAGAACAGTGGTCGCAACAGCTCAGTGAGTTCTATCAGCAATCCATCTTCACCAGGACCGTCTTTGCGCGGCTCTCCAAGGACTGGCTCAGGTAGCTCGCCTTTCGTAAAGTTAGAAGAGGATTTGGCTCCAGATTCGGACGGTAGGTTTGCTTGCACAATTTGCGAAAAAAAGTTCCACGAAGGGGTTGTTCTCCGGGAACATTATGAAAGGTACCATACGCAAGCCCTACTCCATTGTACAATGAATGGATGCAATAAAGTGTTCCTTTCCCGGCAGGCTCGAAATATCCACAGTGATAATTTACACAAAGAGAAAAATTCTGATGCTACGTAGCAGATATTTCTTCTTTTTTTTTTTTTAAAAAAAGAAAACAAACACTTGTGATTTGAAGTATATTATGTGCCAACACAGATTTGTTCCTGTTCAAAATATTTTTTTTGAGAAGAATTTTGCCGAAAGTTGCAAATTAGAAAATTTAATCCTTGGTTTATTCAGTTGTTTTGCATACTAAATTACAAAAACACAGATAATGTAAGTCATAGGTGTTATACACTTCAAGTAAAGCAAATATATTATTTTACAATATTTGCTTCAAAATCTCAGTATAGATTATTTTTATGTATTCTTTATGTTAGTATTTTTAATCAAAATAGTTCCTCTTCCTTATATTTTCTTTGAAACTCGAGTGTGTGCCAACTTTTATAAAAGTCCAAAAACTTTTGCCCTGGCATTTTTTTTTTTTTTTTAAATGGAAAATTCTTTTTAGTTTAAGTTACCCGGAATTATTGGGGTATTTCAATGGAGTATATGTTTATAACATAGAATTTTTCTAATTTCGAATATGTTCATATATTTGTATAGAAATATGTACATAAAAATTGATAAAAGCTAATGTTTAAGTGTGTCTATAAAAGCAGGTTTCTCCGAAATTTATTATTAAGAAAGAGCTCCAAACTATTGTTATAATCCAAAGATTCAGTGTAACATACAGCACCGTGGTAATATGCACGTATTCCCATGTGTCAACGATTGTAGAGCATAGATATTTTAACTGTGCCAATAGCGTCGAAGCATGCCAAACATTTTTACAGCGACGGTAATTGGAAATTGCTTTGGTAGATAAAAGACAGGCAGATGGAATGAAAATTTCTCATTCTGTTGACGTTTCTAGTTCTTCAACGAGCCGTGATCCCTGTCTTATTGCATAGCCAACGAGAATTAAAAGAGAACCACTGTGAAGTACAAACTGAGGCATTTATAGCTTTCTCTTGAAGATGCAATAAAATCATCTTCCCCATTCAAGTTTTACCGCTATATTTAAAACTCTGCTGTTGACTTTGTCAATATTAAAAACCATCAATGTTTAAGTTATTAATTTCCCCATTTGTATCATATGTCCCTCTGCTACATTTATTGTTGCAATTCATTTTTCTTTATGGTACTTCAATAAAGTACTAGAATTGACGTTGTTGTGTATATTCTTTGTTTCTGTGCTTATTACTTACATGATTATCATTAGGATTGAATTGAATAAGCTAATGATTTTTATAAGGATTGAATGAGATCATTAGCGCTTAGATTAAAAACATTGCACACTAATAGAAAAAAAAAGTTGATACCTACTTTATTCTAATAATGAAAATGGTTCATTTAAATTAATTAACCACACATCACATCAAAAAACTTTGATGCATTTTTTACGCAAATACTGAAGATAATAAATATATTCTGTGGTATTTTTTAAATATAAAAATTTAATAAACTTGATGATATCATTTTAAATATTTTCATATCAATAGTTTAGCATTCTAAAGCGTCTCGTTGAAAGCTGGTTTTTAATCAGCTATTTGATAATCTCTAAATTTTGAAATGAAAGTTATATAAAATTGATATTTTATACTCGTGAGAGTCACAGTACAATTTTTAAGGAATGCACATGAATCATATTATAGTGATTACACAAATTTATTAATTGGAATCTTATGTTTAATTTTCTTGAATTATTAGTTTCGTAGCAAAATTTTTGTAAAATAATATAGGGTGACCAACAAAGGAGTCCCTGATTTCAAAATTAATAAATCTGGGAAACAAGGATCGATAAAGGAATACAACAAGCGGGTTATTGTTGTGAATGTTGTAAGAATGTTATACGGAAGTTTCGAAATAATAGTTGCAAAAGTGTGTGTATGATTATGGCAAAGCCTCGAGGGCTATCTGCCTAAGGGGAGGGATGCCTTCGTAGAGGACTTTCTAAGGGAAACTGGCTCGTAATAGTTTCAAAAGCTGCCAACAAATAGTACTGTAATCGCAATACGTAGTGCGTATAAAAAGCGCTCCGAAAGACGCAAGAGGAATCAATCACTAGTGGATAAAGCCAAGTATCCGTGAATCATCTTAAACAACACTCTTCACTTGAATGACCATACTGATAGTGTGAGAAGTAAAGCATTAGGAATTTTAAAGTTATAGGCTATTAGTTATAGGCTTATTTCAAAGCTCAGCCTAAAAAAATATTACACGTATTGCATTAGGCCAATCCTATGCTATGCATCACTAGCTTGAAACACAACCACTGAACACTAGTTGCATAAATTACAAGTTGTGCAAAATAAGGTTCTGAGGCTAATTACAGATGCACACTATTTTGTCAAAAAAGCCCTTCCTCCATTAAGGTCTTGAAACTGTAGATGTTAAAATATATCTGCACAACACGAATGATAAAAAGTCTTTACGATGCCAGTACCTGTGATTTTATTAACTGCCAAAAAGGTTTTGATTATGAGATTTTACAGGAAGACAGGTATATCAGTTCACTCGTGGCTCACTTACTTTCTGACTGCGGCTATAACTTTGTTACTTTTCTTGCGGGATTTACATATATGTGTGTAGTGTATATAGTTTTGACTTCTTCAACATTTTCTTTTTCATATTCTGTTTTGTAATGATTTTATATTTACTCTAATGTATTTGTTTTGCCTGTAAAAATGTCAGTACCAAGTCTTCTCGCTAGTCCAGTCAGATTCCGTACAGGTTGCGAGTGACTTTCAACACTTCTATTTTTTCTACTGTCTTCTGACCGCCCTCTGCCTACCTTTCTCAGATTTCTCCTCTCCACGATCAGGAACTCTTCATGGTCATGGGTCTTTACGGCTAATACTTGAGTATTAAAGTATTTAATACTCAAGTATTAGCCGTAAAGACCCATGACCATGAAGAGTTGCTGATCGTGGAGAGGAGAAATCAGTATTAGCCGTAAAGACCCATGACCATGAAGAGTTCCTGATCGTGAAGAGGAGAAATCTGAGAAATGTAGGCAGAGGAGCCGGCAGAATCTCACCTAGGTGCGGTAGTTCGGCCACAATACGTATCATTCAAGTTCAAATAAGAGGGATCAGTTTCACTGTTGAAACGTAAAAGGAGATTGGCGTATCGAAGGAAGAAGTTGCAATCATGTATTCCATTGAGCAGCGTGGAATACCGCAGATCAGAACGCAGTACAAGGTGTAGTTTTCAAACACAATTTAATGTTTCCAAAGGACCCAATGTGAAAACCATTCGCAAGCTGTAAGGCACATTCTCACGAACAGGCAGAGTCGCCGATGATCTGGTAAGGAATGTCGGTTCAGGAAAACTAGTTACTCCTGGAAAATGTCGCCACTGTCTCTGGCATTATTCAGCAATATCTAAGGAAATCCTTCCGAAGAATTGCACCAGAGATCGGTTTGAAGCATTACATCACGCAAAAAATACTGAGGAACAGCGTGGACATTGTAATAAAATTTTTTAAAAATTTCACCATTTTGATCGAACGACAAACATTTATTACTTAAAAAAATTAAGAGCATGCATCTTGAAGCGCGGATATTTTATGCACGAGGTTTCTTTATATTTCTTACTGAGTATTATATTAGTAGCGTAGCAACGCAAAGACGTTACAGTCTTAAACTTCTTCCCTCACGGGAAAATTTTCGAAGAAAAGTTTTCTTTAAATTGTATGGAAATTTTTTTTTAAAATTGTCTTTCAAGACAAAATTTTGAAATGAGTACAAGTGCCTATCAAACAAGCATTTTAAATGAAGTGAGTACAAGGAAGCAGTTTAAATAAACATATACAATTTAATGTTCTGACATCAGAAAATTTTAAACAGCGAAGCTTGAAACTTTCTAGTACACATAGTTTTAGTTGTGAGATGTTTGCATATAACGACTTAAACTGTCAACATTTTGATTCTATGCACAGCTTCGTAGTTGAAAGGTTGTAAGATCACTTAATCTCGAATTAATCCCAGTGTTGTTATCCAACATTATTAAACATTATGATTACTCTGAATGATAAACTTATGAGGTCCATCTAAGTAGAATTTCAACTTTTATACTGCAAAGACAATGGCAGCAGATTCCCTTTCGACTGTACTGTACTTCTGATCAGTAGGTGAAAACTTTTTGCTAAGGTACGTTATTAGATATTTTTCGCTCTTAGAATTTATCTGTTATAATACAACGCTAGTATCAACATTCGAAGCATTGCACTGAATGATAAATGGCTGAGAAAAGTTCGGACTGTATAAGGATGGATTTTCTGTTAACTGTTTCTTGAGTTCATCAAAAGCTTTTTGGCAATCATCAGTCCAATTTATGGTTGAGTTACAACGTTTTTCTTTTAACAGATTTGTGAGTAGTGCAGAAATTAGAGAAAATTCGGAAATATACCTTCAATCATATCCTGCAAATTCTAAAAATGACCGGACCTGTGTTTTCGGGTTAACTATAGATAAGTCCTTTATGGCTTGAATTTTTATTTCTTCTAGTCTTTTTTGACATTATCCTAACTAAGTGACCTAGATATTTCACGTTCGTTTGAACAAACTGACATTTCAAATGCTTGTGTGAGTTTATCAACTTTCATCTTCTCCAAAATAATTTCTAGGTGCTTCAAATGTTCTTCCCATGTTTGAGAGAATACTGCGACATTGTCAATATATGGTACCGCAAATTCTTCACAGTTTCTTAATAATCATGCCGCCAATCGGCTAAAATCATATGGCGGATTTTTTTAAGTGCCAAAACTTGTCACAAAAGCAGCATAACGCTGGGCTCTTTTAGTTAGTGGGATCTGCCAGTAATATTGAATAAGGTCTAGAACAGTTATATATCTGGCAGATGACACCTTTTCTACTAACTGCTCAATGTTATGTAAGGGAAAATATTGTGTCTTAGTTGCCTTGTTCAAGAGGTGGTTATCAATGCGTGGTCTTTTCCAGAAACTTGAGTTTGTATGAATGGCCAGGTGAAAATCCGATTCACCTGATTCTATTACTTTGAGATTTATTGTTTTGCCTATTTCAGTTTTTAAAATCTCGATTTGTCTGGCAGACAATTGTTTTGCGCATATTGGTTTATCTGTGCAGCGGACCACACATAAATAAGTATGTGTGGATCGTGTATGTGGTCCCTGCAATTCACTGCTTCCAGCCTTTACGATGTGTCACACAACATGTTTTTGACATCGCAGACACATAACTTCATGTCTAGCGTCAAGAGATTTTAACGTTCTGCATTGTGTTTCTCATCAAAGCTTCTGGATTTCAGGAGGGGCGACGAACTAATGATCTGATTTTTCCTCTGATATTGTTCCAGATATAACGAATCAGAGGATGCAAAATGCTACTGTAAAATTAAGGTGGCGTGTCTGCTACCTGCTACGCTACCTGCCGCCACTAAACACAGGGTAACCTGACAGTCACTCCCACAGTAGCGACCACAACCCGCCCATCTGCTTCTAGTTCAGTATGACCAGTTAGACCCAAAGATAGTCAATAACCCAAGGATAGTCATTTACAATCTAAAGAAAGACATAGAGAAGACAGAGTTGAAGAAAAAAACTTGTGACTCAGAACAAGGAACTGGAAAATGCAGAAATAAACGTCCCCCTTGTACAGACAGTCATTAGGATATTTCCAAGCAGGAGAGGTGAAAAATGAGCAATGCCCTTGTTGGGACTCGTACCATGGACCTCTCGAATTCGCGTCAAGCGTGCTGACAACTACACCACGAAAGCATGCTAAGAAGGCGGGAGAAACACCTTATATACCGCCCTTTTAAAGGGCGACTGGGGTTTTAGGGGACTCAATCGCCGAATCCAGGTGGTGAAGAATCATCATTCACGACCTTTTAGTTCGGGCGCCACTAAATTATTAGGAGTCATTAGGTTATTTCCAAGCAAGCAAGAGATGTGAAAAATGAGGAATGCCCTCTCCGGAACTCGAACCACGGACCTCTCGAATTCACGTCGAGCATGCTGACCACTACACCATGAAAGCATGCTAAGAAGGCGAGAGAAATACCGTATAACCTCTCCATGAACGGAAGGTTTGAAAAACACTGTGTAGCCTCGGTTAACCACACTACGTTCAAACACATAATGAAAACCAAAAAAGTCAATGTCCAATGGACAAGAAACAGCA